TTGAAATTGGCCACCTTGATTAGCACTCTGTGGTTCCGGCCATGAAAGCCTTTGACAAAGCATTGAATGGCTTTGCAGCTTCAAAGCCTGGCTGCTTCCTGCCTTAGGGAAGAGTTGTTTCTCCCACCCTGGACATTTCACAGATATATAAACCCCACTTGCCTAGTTTGCAACAGACCTCACAACTTCTGAGGATGCTTGCCATAGATGTGGGTGAAACGTCAGGAGAGAATGCTTCTAGAAAATGGATATACAGACCGGTAAACTCACAGCAACCCAGTGATTCCGGCCATGAAAGCCTTGAACAACACATTTGAAAAGACGTGAGTCCTTTGCTCTCTCCTCTCCCTGGCTATCAATGATGTTATGCTACTGATTCTGACACATCCTGATAATAAAGAACTCAATAAGCAGCATTTTCAGGCAGCTGGTTGTTTGCATTGTTTGCATTCTAAAGTGAGACAGCGCTCCTCTAAATATACTCCGACCTCTTAAAAGCTTACTAGAAGTGGGGGGGGGGGGGATCCAACTTTTCCGTCTTGAGTTTGGGTTGCAGGCACCCAGGGAGGAAATGTTTTTATTGGAAGCAAAACACCCCCCAGGTGCTCTCTTTCTCTTTCTCTCTCACTCCCAATCCCTATCGTCCAAAGTTTGCAAATGATATAATATAACCCGTTGCTCAACAGACCCACAAACTGAGTCCCACTCCTGATTTGACCCTTTCTTCTGACAGGGAGCCACACAACACTTGGTTGCAAGGAATGGTGCACCTTGTTGCACCTTCATGCTCACCTGATGCTCTTTCTTTTCTGTCCTGTTCTCCAGTTTCACTGGGTGATACATACCTCTTTCTGCTCTGATAGGGGAGCGACATTTGTCATATCGTCTTCGTCCCTCCCACCCAGGAATCTACAAATGGCAACCAACACTTTCTCTTCTTTCCTCCACTTTCTTCTCATCTTCTCATTGAACCCTCAAAATATTAAACAGAAGGATTAGACCACTTTCAATGGAGGCTTACTACTGACACTTGACTGGCATTAACTTCACCCCATAACAATAACAGGGACTTTTATATATATATAAAAGTCAAGTGTCTCTATAGAGAGAGAGAGAGAGAGAGAGAGACTTGGCATATATATATCTCAAGTGTCAATATATGTCAAAAGTGTCAAAAGTCAAGTGTCTATACACACACACACACACACACACACACACACACATATACACACTAGCCTTCCCCCTTTCACGCGTTGCTGTGGCCCACATGGGGGTTCTGTGTGTGCCCAATTCTATCCTTGGTGGGGTTCAGAGTGCTCTGTGATTGTAGGTGAACTACACATCCCAGCAACTACAACTCCCAAATGTCAAGATTCTATTTTCCCCAAACTTCACCAGTGTTCACATTTGGGCATATTGAGTATTCGTGTAGAGTTTGGTCCAGATCCATCATTGTTTGAGTCCACAGTGATCTCTGGATGTAGGTGAACTACAACTCCAAAACCAAAGGACAATGCCCACCAAACCCTTCCAGTATTTTCTGTTGGTCATGGGAAGACTGTGTGCCAAGTTTGGTTCAATTCCATCGTTGGTGGGGTTCAGAATGCTCTTTGATTGTAGGTGAACTATAAATCCCAGCAACCACAACTCCCAAATGACAAAATCATTTTTTTGAGTGAAGGACATACATTGGGTTGTTAGGTGTCTTGTGTCCAAATTTGGTGTCAATTCGTCCAGTGGTTTTTGAGTTCTGTTAATCCCACAAATGAACATTACATTTTTATTTATATAGATATTGATACTTGATATATATATAGAGTCCCTGTTATTGTTATGGGGTGAAGTTAATGCCAGTCAAGTGTCAGTAGTAAGCCTCCATATATATATATATGAAAAATTAAAATAAAGATATTATATATATATATATATATATATATATATATATATATATATCTTTATTTGAATTTTTCATTTAAAAGCAATACACAACAAAAATAAAAATGTGCAAAATCAATTTAGGCTATCAGAATAACAAAATAAGTCAAAGCCAAGTTGAAGAAAGATTGTGTGTAGAAAAGAATAAATAAAAAGAGGTAAAGAAGAAGGGGGGGGGGGAGAAAAAAAATAAAATAAAAAGAAGTATTTTGACTTCCTGGTATCATCTAGGGATCTTCTTTACTTTCTTCTCTCTCTTCTTCTTCTTCCTCTCCTTCTCCCTCTATTCCTTTTCTTTCCCTCCCTTTTTACCATCTCCCTCTTTGTTTTTTCCCATTTTAGATCAAAATCATCTTCTTCTTTTGTTTCAAGTATTCAGTAACTTTTTTCCAATCCGTTTGTTCCATTCTCGTTTTTTTATTCTTTGACATGAGGAAAGTGAGTCTACCCATGTTTCTAATCTCTAGTATTTTCGTCATCCATTCGTCTTCCTCTGGTGTTTTTTCTTGTTTCCATCTTCTTGCAAAGCAAATTCTTGGGACCACAATAACAGGGACTTTTTGAGGAGCGGGAGGGGAGTACCCTTTCTCTTTTTTGGAGGGGAAGGAAGGAAGAATAGAAGAAGAGCAGGAGAGAAGGGAGGATAGAAGGAAGGAGGAAAAATAGAAGAGGAGGAGGAGGAGGAGCAGAGAAAGGTAGAAGATGGAAGGAAGGAAAGACAACTGAAGAAGGGGAGGAGGAGAAAATGGTAGAAGAGGGAAGAAAGGAAGGAGAAATCAACGGAGGAGGAAAGAAGGAAGGAAGAATAAAAGATGGATGGAAGAAGGAAGGAAAATAGAAGAAGGGAATAATAGAAGAGGAGGAGGAGGAAGGAAAAAGAAAGGAAGAAAAATAGAAGGAGGCGATGGAAGAAGGAAGGAAGAACAGAAGAATGGGAGAAGGAGAGAAAGGTATAAGAAGGAAGAAAGGAAACATAGAAGAAGAGGAAGAGAGAAAGGTAGAAGATGGATGGAAGGAAGGGAGAGAGGGAGGAAATGGGAAGAGGAAGAAGAAGAAGAAGAAGAAGAAGAAGAAAAAGGAGAGAGAAGAAAGGAGAAGGAGGAAGGAAAAAAGAAGGGGGTGGGGGGGAAGGAGGAAGGAAGAGGGAAGGAAGGAAAAAAAGGAAGAAGGAGGGGGAGAAGGAAGAGAAAGGAAAAAGAGGAAGGAGGGGGAGAGGAGAAAAAGGAAGGAAGGAAGGAAGGAAGGAGAAGGAAGGAAGAAGGAAGGAAGGAAGGAAGGAAGGAAGGAAGGAAGGAAGAATAAAGGAGAGAAACACACGAAGACAAGGGAAGGGACAAGGAAAGGAAAAGCTATGCCCCTCTCCTTTCTCCCTGCCTGCCTGTTCCTCAGAGACTGCCTTCCTTTCTGTCCTCCTGAGCTGCCTGCCTCAGTGGCTTGGCTAATGGAGAGCGGGCTGGACGGATACTGAGGGGACAAACGTGGGTTTGACGTGTGGACTCAGAAGCGGGTCCCGGCTGTGTCCAATAGTTCTCCCCCCAAATAAGCAGATACAGGGCGCCCCGAAGTAGCCAGGCCCCTTTACTTTTGGTCCTGGGCCTCTTTCGAAGTGACGTGGGCCGGCACGGAGCCATGTGGGGCGAAAGGGTCGAGACCCCCAACAAGCGGCAGTCAGGAGGGTTTCTCGGAGCCAGGGGTCAAAGGCCGAGCGGCACTTCGGCGCGTGCCCATACCTCAGGAAGGCAGGCAGGCTGGCTTGCTTGCTGGTATCCTGCCTTCCTTCCTTCCTTCCTTCCTTCCTTCCTTCCTTCCTTCCTTCCTTCCTTCCTTCCTTCCTTCCTTCCTTCCTTCCTTCCTTCCTTTTTCCTCCTTCCTCTCTCTTTCCTCCCTTCCCACTTTCCTTCCCTTCTTTCCTTTCTTTCCTTCTCCTTTTCTTTTTCCTTTTTCCTTCCGTCTTCCTTCCTCCTTCTCCCCTTTCCTTCTTCCTTCCTTTTTTCTTTTCCTCTTTTCCTTTTCTCTTCCCTTCTTCCTTCCCTTCTTTCTTTTTTCTTTCCTACCTCCCTCCTTTCCTCCCCTCCCCTTCTTCCTTCTTTCTATCCTCTTTTCCTTTCCTTCCCTTCTTCATTCCCTTCTTCTTTTCCCTTCTTCCTTTCCCCCTTCTTCCTTCCTGCCTTCCTCCTTTCCTCCCCTTCCTCCTTCCTGCCTTCCTCCTTTCTATCCTCTTTTCCTTTCCTTCCTTTCTTAATTCCCTTCTTCCTTTTCCCCTTCTTCCTTCCTCTCTCCCTCCCCTCCCCTTCTTCCTTCTTTCTATCCTCTTTTCCTTCCCTTCCTTTTTCTTTATCTTTTTCTCTCATTTCTTCCTTCCCTACTTCCTTCCTTCCATCCTCTCTTTCCTTCCCTTCCTTTCCCTTCTTAATTCCCTTCTTCCTTTTTTCCCTTCTTCCTTCCTCCCTCCCTCCTTTCCTCCCCTTTCCTTCTTCCTTCTTTCTATCCTCTTTTCCTTTCCTCCCTTCCCTTCTTCATTCCCTTCTTCCTTTTCCCCTTCCTTTCCCCTTCTTCTTTCCTCCCTTCCTTCCTGCTTCCTTCCTTCCTTCTTTCCTCCCCTTCCCTTCTTCCTTCTTTCCTTCTTTTTATCCTCTTTTCCTTTCTCTCCTTCCTTCCTTCCTTCCTTCCTTCCTTCCTTCCTTCCTTCCTTTCCTTCCTTTTCCTTCCTCTTTCCCCTCCCTTCCCTTCCTTCTATCCTCTTTTCCTTTCCTTTCTTTCCCTTCCTCTTTCCTCCTCTCCCTCCCTTCCCTTCCCTTCCTCTGTGTGGGCCCCCTCGAGGCGAGGCCCCTCCCTTTGCCAAAGGAGCCCTCGGGGCTCTCCCGCCTGGAGCTCTGGCTGGGGAAAGGGCGAGTCCCCTCCCGCCCCTTTTAAGGCAGGCCCGAGGGAGGGAGTTGCCCAGGTGAGCCCCGGCGGAGTTGGAGAAGCAGCCCCGGGGAGGGCCAGGCGCGGGCGGACTGCGGACAAGCGCGCTGGTGCGTTTCCTTCCTTCCTTCCTTCCTTCCTTCCTTCCTTCCTTCCAGGCCATGACAGCCGAGGGCGCCCCGTCTGCCCCCGAAGCCTCCTTCTGCTCGTCGGAGGCGGGGAAGGCGGCGGGGTCGGAAGACGCTCCTCCGGCGGCGGCGGCGGGGCCAGGCGGGGTGTCGGGGCGCCGTCGGAAGCGGCCTGTCCCGCGGGGGAAGCCTCCCTTCAGCTACATCGCGCTGATCGCCATGGCCATCGCGGCCTCCCCGGAGCGTCGCCTGACGCTGGGCGGCATCTACCGCTTCATCACGGAGCGCTTCCCTTTCTACCGCGAGGGGCCCCGCAAGTGGCAGAACTCCATCCGCCACAACCTGACGCTCAACGACTGCTTCGTCAAGGTGCCCCGCGAGCCCGGACGCCCCGGCAAAGGCAGCTACTGGGCCCTCGACCCGGGCGCCCGGGACATGTTCGACAGCGGAAGCTTCCTCCGCCGGCGGAAGCGCTTCAAGCGCGGGGACCTCTCCACCTACGCCGCCGCCGCCCAGCAGGAGCCCCCCGCCTCCGCGCCCGTGGGCTACCCGCCGCCCCACCTCTTCGCCTTGGAGATGGGCCCCGAGGGGGGCTGGCCCTCGCAGAGCAACCACTGCGCCTTCGCCGGGCCCGGGGCCTACTCCAGCCCTGGCCCCAGCTTGACCAGGCCCCACACTGCCCTGCCTTACTCCTACCCCATCAACCAAGGCGCTTACTCCAATGGAAACAACTTTGGCGCCTCTGCCCACCTTGGGGTGCCCACCTCACCGCCCCTCAGCGGTGACACCATGGACTTCTATGGCTACGGCTCGCTGGCCCACGGCGGAGGGCAACTCACTGGCCCCGGGGCCTACCTGCGACACGCCACCTACCCCGGCGGCATGGACAGATTTGTTTCTGCCATCTGAAGCTTAAGAGACGATGGTGGCACAAGGCCAACGTCCAAAATGGGCCTCCCAAATGGCCCCGTGTCATCGCCTTGCTCTGCTGTGCTGTGAGGAGGGCTGTGGCACCCCTTTGTCCAACCCTAGCTGCACCATTTTGCTCTCCGTGACCACACTGGATGCTCCGGTGAAGGGACCGCAGTAGGACAGGTGGACGGAAATGTGGCCCCTGGTCTCGTGAAGACCTGGAGCTACTGCGCTACAATATAAAGTGACCAAGGGGGATGCTGAGTGGGGGTACTGGGAAGACACGGCTGGCCATCTGCGCTGACCATTTAATGCAGCTTCGAGCCAGTATCAAAGAAACGGTTCTCACTGTTTAAGTGATTACTGTACACAGGAAATCATGAAACTGGTTTGAGGTCCAAGCAATAATTTGTCAAACCACAGAACACTAGGGCTGGATCTACACTGCCATATGTCCATATTATCAAAGCAGTTAAACCAGATGACACTATGTAACATGATTTTTGTTCCTGGATTATATACGTCCTTTCCTAATTGGTTTTATCATAATAATATGGAAAAGTATGTTGTCGAAAGCGTTTGTGGTTAGAATCACTGGGTTGCCGTGAGTTTTTCCATCTGTAATCATTGTTTTTTAATCGTGTCAGAAGCTACTTGAGAACATACCGGTGTGAGAGAATTGGCCATCTACAGAGACATTGCCTAGGAGACACCCAGATGTGTTACCATCCTGTGGGAGGCTTCTCTCATGTCCTCACAAGCTAGAGCTGACAGATGGGAGCTCATCCCACCTCGCAGATTCGAACCGGTAACCTTCAGGTCATCAACCCAACCTTCAGGTCAGCAGTCCAGCTGGTACAAGGGTTTAACCCATTGCACCACTGCGGATTTGGCTGTAATAATAATAATAGTTTTATTGTATTGTCGAAGGCTTTCATGGCCGGAATCACTGGGTTGTTGTAGGTTTTTTCGGGCTATATTGCCATGTTCTAATCTAGAGGCATTCTCTCCTGACGTTTCACCTGCATCTATGGTGTCCCCGGTGGCGCAGTGGGTTAAAGCCCTATGCCAGCAGGACGGAAGACCGACAGGTCGCAGGTTCGAATCCGGGGAGAGGCGGATGAGCTCCCTCTATCAGCTCCAGCTCCTTATGTGGGGACATGAGAGAAGCCTCCCACAAGGATGATAAAAACATCAAATCATCCAGGCGTCCCCTGGGCAACGTCTTTGCAGACGGCCAATTCTCTCACACCAGAAGCGACTTGCAGTTTCTCAAGTCGCTCCTGACACGACAAAAAAAAAAACCCTGCATCTATGGCATAGATGCAGGCGAAAAGTCAGGAGAGAATGCCTCTAGAACATAGCCCAAAAAAACCTACAATACCCCAATAGTTTTATTTCTTGCCCGCCTTTCTTCACGACTCAAGACAGGTTACAGCATTACTAAAACATAAACAAACACACAATCATTTTAAAACACTCCACAAAATGCACATGTTAAAACATACCTCCATAAAATATGTATCAAAATACACAAAACAAAAGCCAGGCATATAGCAGAGTTTAAAATTCACAATTAAAACTGTCTAAGTAGGCCTGCCGAAAGAGATAAATCTTCACTTGTATCTTAAATGCTCTACCGGCAGAGCAGCCAATGAAAAGATCTGTAGGAGAGCTGTAGGGAAAAATACTAATTGAACATGGTCATACAGCCCAAAAAAACTCATAGTAATCCCTGCAAAAGTTTTGTTTTTGTGGGACATCCTACTACAGCACATTTTGCTCTAGTTTACAATGAATGTCTCACAGAGTCTCAACCAATTCAACATAGTTTGTGGCGGCCACAAAAACTTGAGTTTCTGGAGGATATTAGCAACTACTTTCAAAGTGAGTACTACGCAATTAAACAGGAAATAATACTTTCAAACCAGGAACAGATTTTTTTCTTCACATTTTGTTACATAGTGTTGTCTGCTTTGAATTGGATTTTATGAGCCTACACTGCAATATAATCCAGTTCAAAGCAGATAAACTGGATTTTATATGGCAGTGGAGATGGAACCCAAGAGACACATTAAGAGCTTTCTTTCTTTCGCTCACTTGTGAGGGGGGTTTGTTACCTGGCCACCACAGTTTGAAGCTGTATTCAGTTGTCCGTGGAGATGGAGCCATGGAAAAGCTTTTTCAGGCAGGACTGTAAAATGTGAATATCTCAGCTTTTTCAAGTCAAGGGAATAGAAAAACATTTGGTTTTCTTTTATCTGTTCTTTTCTACTTGATTTTGTGCATACGTTTCTCAAATGATATGCTGCAGAAGTCTCAGTAGTAAAAAGCCGCCACTCTTTCTCTTCCATTTTCCAAGATTAGCCAGGTTTCTACCAAAGTATGAATAACTATTGCAGGTGTGTGCTTCATATCCTTAATTCCACATTTTCACTGACTCACAAATTCATTTGGACAAATACATTCGGGGTCAGTGAGTCACACTTCCTTTTGGGTGCTTCAGATAAATGCTGTCTTGTCTATAGCTTTGTTTTCTGATGGCTTTGGGATTATAATAAAATGTACTTTTGAAATAGACTTTGCTGGACAGCTCTCCTGATTGTCGATACTATTTGTAGATGAGTAGATTTTCGTTCTAACAGGCCAAAGAAACTGCTTCTGCACTTTAGTTAGTTCAGTGGGTCCCATTTTAGCTTTTAGCCTTGAGTCAGGTGGAGCCAGGCATTGTAGTGGTTTGAGCACTAGATTAGGACTTTAAGGGACAAGGATTTTAATCCTCACTCAGCCATAGTAAACATCTCAGTCTCAGAGGAAAGCAGTGCCCCATTCACCAAATCTTGGCAATAAAGCCCAATGATAGGATCATAGTAAATCAGAAATGATTTGAACTACAACTTGAGTAAAATGTCTTCCCTATCTTCATGAGTTTGAGAATAAAGACCTCACAACTTCTGAGGATGTTTGCTATAGATGCAGGCAAAACGTCAGGAGAGAATGCCTCTAGAAGATGGCCATATAGCCCGAAAAAACCTATAACAACCCAATAAAGTCAGTGTTCATATCCAGATGGCAGTACAGTACATCTTAAGGGTGAAATGTAACCAAACCTTCAATGTCTTCCCAGGGATTTTTGTTCTATAAAGCAAATGGCTTTTTCTCTATGTCAAGCATACTGTATATACTCATGTTCAATATATGTCAACCTCATGTATAAGTCAAGGGCAGGTTTTGGGGCCAAATTTTTAGGTTTTGATACAACCTGTAAATAGTAGAGGGTAATTGCGTGGAGAAGGGAAAGCACTGGTCCCAATTCAGGGCCAGCCTCTTCTGGGTGCCCCCCCCCCCCCCGTTTTCCCACTGAGACATTCATAAAGGCCAGAAGTGGAACCATGGCAGAGAGAATAGAGGGGGTTAGTGCTTCTTTTAGGTTCCACCATTACAATTTAAGCTCTAACCCAGAGGTTCCCAAGTTTTTTTTGACCAGGGACCACTTGCCAACATTAGTACTGAAAGGGTTACGAATCTGTTTTTGGTCAACTTTAGATTCGGTTTTGTTATTTGGGGTGCTAATTCAGAAAATTTCATTAGATAGACCACATCAGCTCTAGTAGTCACCATCTGCTCACCCACAGAAAACCATATTTAATAATCTAGAGCCGATGTGGTAATCTTTCGTGGGTAGTCAGCCTCTCCCCTCCCAATATCCCCGCTGCTTCGGCACTATAAGAGGATTTCACAAGACCAGTCACTTACGTTGCCATGTGATTTCAAGGCAACAGTGTAGTAATGGTGAGGTCACGGACCATATTTTCGTTCTTGTGTACCACTGGTGGTCCATGGACCACAGGTTGCGAACCACTACTCTAACCTTTTTCTATTCAGAAAAGCAATATTTCATTTTCTATTTTCATTTTCATTTTCTAACCTTTTTCTATTCAGAAAAGCAATATTTAATTTTTGATAAAATTCACATTGCCATGGATAAGTTGATCCAGGTTTTGGGGGTTGGTTGGAGTTTTTTTTACTAACATTTCAATATTTATTCATGAATATATGGGATAATTTATATCCCAACCTTTCAGTTTTTGTTGTTAATTGTCTAGATGTACTTATTAATAGTCTAAATAACATTTTTATTACCTTTTAAATAAGAAACCTCACAGGGCTTTATTGGGGAGGTAGAATTACTATATTATCATATTTTCCTCCTCAATCATCCTTTTGTCTTCCTTCCATCTTTGCTGAATCAAGAAGGACTTTATATTGTCCCAACATTGGTTGGTGAGTGGAAAGGCTACTGGTCTAATGGTTTGGTCAGAACAGGAATGATCCAAGCTACTAATGTGTCATTGAGGATTCAAAGCCAACTTCTCTAGATGGTAATCTGTCAACCCTTGTTCAAAAACCCAACCTTTTCATGTGAACTGTGCTGAACAGATCAAAATAAGCTGAGTGTCGAGGAAAGAAAGATCTATACGCATAGTTAAATGATGCTGACTCTTGAGGACAGTAATAGTTTCGATTTCAGGTTAGACAATCACATGCTTTTGCTCCTATATCTTAAAAATAAACCCTGTTACTGCAAAGAAGAATTCTCTTAACTAACCTCTAAATTTCTGTGGACAGGGAATTCTATTTATTCCAAATGTAACAACACACACACATTTGCAAAATGTTACAGTGACAAAAATCTGTGCAGTTCACCTGGAAAGAGATCCAAATGCTCAGATATTTCTCCTGTATTCCTGGGATTTCGCACACCATTTTGCGGATAAAGTCGCTCAGATACGCCTCGAGTTATATACCAGCTTAAATACAGTGCTAGAGGAGGTGACTGAGGCATCTGCTTGTCCAGTTTTGTGGAATTCTTTCCAGCTTGTTCATCCTGTTGATGTAGAGGGGGACCTTGGGGCTGTGAGGGTGACCACGTGGGCTCTGGACCCTTGCCCTTCTTGGCTAATTAAATTGGCTAGAGGTGGGTTAATTGATTGATT